TCTTCTCTCATGATCTGCTCTCATGAGGATACCCAGGACCCACTTGTTCATCTTTCTGGCAGTCTGGGGTATTCTCAAAGTTCTCCTCCAGCACCTCATTTCAAACAAATCATTTTTTTCCTATCAGCTTTCTTTACTGTCTAGGTTTCACATCCATACATGGTGATGAGAAATACAAGAGTGTGGATGGTCTTGGTCTTATTCTCCAGTGACACATCCTTAGACTTGATGATATTTTCTAGTTCCTTCGTTGCTGCCCATCTAAGTCTTAGTTTTCTTGTTAATTTTCTAAATTAAACCTGTTGCTCTCCATTTCAGATATTTTGCCAAATCTTGTGAAGGCACAATGCAACATCAGTATAAAGTTAGCTTATATTAAATGCATATTAATAATATATATTTCTTGCTGAGAAAGTACAAATTTCTTTACAAATCAGCATCATGTCAAATAAATGTCCACTGAAAATACAGAACAAAGCAAACAAGCCTACATAAAATTAAAATATCATCATGCCGTATATATTTTTTGAATTCATATAATTATATTGTGCTTTTACATTCTGTCTGGATGGTGTAGACCCACTGATGACAACAAATTAAAACCTTAAAAGGATAAGGTCAAGGAAGAATCTCTCTGGATCAAATTAGATAAGATACCAGCTTTGCAATTGGAAGCTCTCATTTCTCCTCCTGTGATGCAGTTCCTTTAACACTCTGGGCTAAGCAATCAGGCTTGCTGTCCAACTAAAAGCAAGGTAGTTTTCTACATATGTGATGAAAGCTCATGGTAGGATAAACAAATATCTTTTATCTTGTAAGAGAGCTCTGCTTCTAATGATGTGTTAACTGTATCACCTAATCTTACCTTGTACCCCTGATTCCAGCAAACCATGGGGTAATTGGTTTATGCTTAAAAAGAATCTTCTCTTAACATGCCATATTTTGATTCTCTAGGCTATCCACAAGTGATCTTACACAGATATAAACTTAATCAGTCATGTTGAACAGTCCAGAAATGACACACAAACAAAAGATGCAATGCCTAGGCTTTAACACAACCAAAGGAGAAGAAGGTAACCTTGACATTTTTTACTTTGCCACACACTTGTGTCTCACCCTCCCTAGCTTCAACACTAATCCTTATACAGTGGTGCCTCACTTGACGACGTTAATCCGTTCTAGTGAAATTGCTGTAGAGTGAAATCGTCGTCAAGTGGGGGAAAGAACCATTGAAACACATTAAAAACCGGTTAATGCGTTCCAATGGTCTAAATACCTCATCGTAAAGCGAAGATCCTCCATAGGGCAGCCATTTTCCGGTGCCTGTATAGCGAGGAATCCGTCCTAAAGCACAGCGGGGAGCCATTTTGCACAGCGGGTGGCCATTTTAGAACCGCCGATCAGCTGTTTGAAAATCGTCATCTTGCAAAAAATTGGTTCCTGAAACAGGGAACCAATCATAATGAAGCGAATTTTTCCTATTAGAACATCATTTTGTGATCGCAAAAACCTCATCGTCAAGCGGTTTTGTCGTTTAACAAGGTAATCGTTAAGCGAGGCGCCACTGTATATTGTTTAACCTCTTGTGTGACACAATGGCAGTTTTCTTTTACTTAGATTTACCATTCATCTTGGCCCTGAAGTTCTCTAAAGAATTATAACCTATAGAAAGACAAAAATAATAAAATGAAATGGGATAGATCTGCAGACAACTCAAAAGAAAGGCTGTGGGGTGATCCCTGCTGTGCCTCACCCACTGAGTAAGATACTCATACTCTAAAAACTGTCAGTATTTTCTAGATTGACGCATGAGATTCCTCTGCTATCTTCTTATTCTTCCCTTTGGTCAGATCTGGTGTCTATTTTCTATTTGGGAATACTTGTATTTACACCAACATAGGCCATAAATAATTACTGCAGGTGAAATGTTAACAACATGCCTAAGTCTCTTACAGCCAATGAGTATTTCAAATGCTCTGACTAGGAAATTTATATTTCATTCATTCTTTCATTTGGGATTTTGCCTAATAGTTCTTGGCCTGAAATCTAAGGGAATAGGATATTGCTGGCTTGGAAAATGTAACAGGCAAGTGTAGAATTATTGCCTACCAGTCATGGCATATCATAGATACATACTCAGAAGTGAAGGTGCCAATATACAATGGAAAAAATGTGCATGGATCCTCTGTGAAGTCGGCTTTCCCCAGGTGCAATTGCTTTAACCACATAGGAACCAGCAGAAAAGAGAAGAGGAAATTAGCAATCAGCCTTATTTGCAGCTTGTTAAGGTAGCTCTTCTATACTGTCCAAATTTGCAAGAGTTACAGCTACTGCACAGCTACCTTAACCCGCTGCAAATATGTACTCATTAGCAATTTCCTCTTCACTCTCTGCTAATTCCTAGCTTTTTTTTCATGTTGTCTCCTAAGTACTCTAGTACCACAGGACCATAATTTTTTAAAAAGGAAACAGATAGGGAAAGGAAGAGGAAAACAAGCAATTTGAAGGAAAATGACTTATAGATGAGACCAACAATCTTGCTTTAAAAAACAGAACAAAAGCAGTTTTTAAAACCCTGCTCTCTATTTGTTAATTTCAGAATTGCTCCCTGTTCAATATTTGGTAACGGCAGATAGTTTCTGCATTAGCAACAGCGAACACACAAACTGAATTGATGTGAATGTGCTTGCTGTCAAAAAATGTAGAAGCCCTAGTAGTGGAGGAAAAAAACTATGGATTAGTGGAGGGAAACTCCAAGCTGATTCACATTGACTTGTGCACTATGTAGTGATTTTGATCATCCCAATTCCAGAGCATTTCCTACATTATTTGTCAATGTGGTCACCTGCTCAGTACCATTTAATTTCACAGGGCTTACTTTTCATTGGAGTACTTAAGCCTTCTGTTTAAGAGAAGTCTATTCACATTTCAGAAACAACTCAATCCCCAAACAAGTCACATTTCAAACAAAAGGAAACTTAGATCTACCATTTTAAATTATTGTTGTCTATCCTGTTTAATCTAAGTACTGTAATTATAGGATAAACTTTAATCTATATAAATTAAAGATAGGTATTCTTTATATGTTGAAATATAATCTTCATATTTTGTTTGCTTATTTAAAATACTACCATAAGGCCTTTCATCAAATTAGATTCCAGGGTGGTTTATAACAACACAAGTAACTATTAAAAGCCTACTACAATAGAATAAATCTGTAAGCTGAACTAATATAATAAAAGACAACAGACAGAAACTACTCGGCAAACTCTGTGATTCTACAGACAAAACTGACCGGGTTAATAAAAAAAATTAACCTGGAATTCACAAAAATAGTAATGTAAGTATAAGGAATACTTTTTTGTTTGTTGTGTGCTATCAAGTCTGGCAGATGTATTTCTCAAGTATGTGAGAAATTTAATTAATGGTTTTACCACTGCCACTCCCTCATGAGTTTCCATAGTTGAGGAGCAATTTGAACCCAGGCCTCAGTTCTACTCCCACACTATATCAACTATAGTACACTGGCTCTTATACCTCTTTAGGGAGCCAAAACATAAACACAGCTACGTGATGTATGGAATCAAGCTCAAGTAATAACTTAATGCAATAAAAGCACATTGCACAACGTTCATTAGGGGTGTGTATTCCAAAACCAGGGCACCACTGAGCAAGCCGTCATCAAAGCACTAACATAATGTGATGCATGGAATCAGGCTCAAATAATACCTTAATCCAATAAAAGCATATTGCACAAATTTTTTAGAGTGTGTATTCCAAAGCCAGGGTACCACCACTGAGGAAGCTGTCAACTTTGCACTAAGGAACAGGTACATCCAACAAATCTGATTCAGGAGAAACTGCAGTCTCAGGACATAGTAAAATAAATCCTTGATAATGGTCCACTGCCTGAATGCATGACCTTCTTCAGGGGCTGTGTAACCTCCCCATGTCTGTGTACATGGGGAGGAGGAGATGTCTCCTAGCCCTCCACCCAGTGAAGGCTTCTCTTAGGCTTGAGGGTAGGTAGGTAGTGGCAGTTCCTTCTTTCTCTGAAGATCAGCCACCCCTCTTTCTCCAGCCACTGGGAGCTCCATGGAACTGAGGGGGAAGGCAGAGTCCCATATTCCAGCAAGGGGAAACTTCCAGGAAATGGCCATATTGGATTCATTCTGTTGCATCAATCCAGGGAGCAAAGCTGAGCAGGTTTCCCGCAAGATATGAAGCTCCATGGCAGAAGAGGCATCTTCAGGGCACCCTTCACCAGTACATTAGAGATTGGCAGAGCAAAAGGCACAAATGTTCATGCAGCTGAAGGGGTGACAGGAGCAGCACCCTGTCCCCAATCTCCTCAGGCTCCTAAAGCTCTTGTTTTCTAATGCTGGAAAAATTAAGAGGGAAACAAGAAAAACAAATGGACAAAATACTGCTCCAAATCTTCTTACCTAGTTACGCTGTCGTAACCTTCGGGCACATTGTGTAAATGTTATGAATGTAATCCAGGGAGCAAAGCTGAGCAGGTTTCCCACAAGATATGAAGCTCCATGGCATCTTCTTACCTAGTTACGCTGTCCTAACCTTCAGGCACATTGTGTAAAGGTTATGAATGTTCCACAGAGGGATCAGTTGTGTGCTGAATTGTATGGCTCTGTGCAAGAATATCTACAATGATTTCTTAAGGCAGTTTTCTACCAACAGTTACATTATTTGTGTAGCTAGGCAAGAACATTTTGGCCACTGTGACACGCTGAAGACTATTGTTTCAAAGTGAGCTTCGGAGGATCAAAATCCACTTCCTCAGACACTTTTAAACATCTCTGCTGGAGTGGGGGGGGGAACCCCTCTACATTTTAATACATAATTTTAGGAATATTTGAAGTTGCACGTTTAAAAACAATAAAGTGGTTTCTTAAACGAAGAACGAAGGGCAAGCTTTGTAGTGTACTGTATAATATACCCGGACTAGTAAGAGGGCTGCGGAGAGACAGTAGCAGCACGAAGAGCGTGAGCTAGAGAAGGAACCGTCCAGTTTCCTTTTGTCCTCCCTGAACGCCGCCTTCACCTTAACCGAGGCAAAGGCAGCGTCTCGTCGGCCCCGTTCCCGAAGGCCTGGGTTAGAAGCCAGCCTCGGGAGCCCAACGCCGACCGGCCGTGACGGTGGCAGAAGGCCAGCCTCCTTTATCTGTCGCACGCCTTCGGAAGCCACCCCGCCTCGGAGAGGCAAGGCCCGGTTGCGGCCCATCCCTCATTCCCTCCCTCTGCCGGCTGGAATCTGGGGGAAAGGTGAGAGGGAAGCGGAGCCAAAAAAAGGAGGAGAAGCTGCCGCCTCCCTCGCAGTCATTTCCAACCGCTGTTGTTGTGACTAGCATTTGAGGGACGGAGGGCCTCCGCGGCCCGCGCTGAGGCCTCACAAACGAGCGACCAGCGGCGAAGGCCCGGGCTGTGAGGTGAGTGCAGGCGAGCAGCAAGCGCCGGGAGGCTTACTCAGGACAGTTGTGGAAAAAAAAAAGGCAGAAAGCAGGCCCAACACGTCCAGAACTCTCCATTTCTCTGTCTTTTGAGACCATTCTGTTTTCAGTCGGCCCTTCCACGGACTTTCTGGGGCGTACTTGCCCGGTCTTGTTCTCCGGCCTCTTGCTCCGTGAGCCCTTATTCTCCCCGCTGAAAACTCTTCCTCTTGCCGCCCCCAGCCCGCCATCCTCGGGGCTTTTCAGGGCAGCAGGTTATCCCCCTGGCTTTCACGGAAGGGCTCTGGAGCAGTGTAACCTGACAACACTGCAAGGTAAACAAACACACGTGAAGAGCAATGCCTTCTGCCATTAAAAAGCACGATAAAAATCAACCAGCCCATATTCAGGCACTTTCCACGGTTTTAGACACGTTTAAAGTCGGGCAGGGGGTGGGGGGAAGATAACACAATTCTCTTTTCGCTGCGTCGGAGGAGTGGATCCCGCTCAGTCAGATGCATCTTGGCAGGTGAAAAAATAGCTGATGTTGTTGTTTCGACTTATACCGCCCCTATAGTGCTTAGGCGATTTACAACATAACTATACAGTACAAACAACAACATTCCAAGGCTCCCCACTATTACTGTAGTAGGAACACATTTGCTGTAGTGGACTCAGTGAAACACTATCTGCAGTTTTAGGACTGATTGCCATGGGTCATACATATACTGTACCATATAAACGATCAGTTGTCTAGGTAGGAGTTCAATTCTTTTTTTTCGCTCCACTGGATGTGTGTCAGGTGTTTATCAGATAGCAAGGGTTTGCTGGCAAGATGCTCCTCTTCTGATTGCCCTGTTTAAATTTGTGCACCTCTCTGTGACACTTTTGATTCAGTGTACAGTACTGTGCCCAGGCAGAGAGAGGTGCACAGTGTGATGTTATGGGCATATGTAAAATTTCACAACAATTGATAAAGATTGGCAGGGCAGGGTCTGGACCAAGGTCCTTTAACACAGCCTGCTGTTGATGATAAACAATGAAGGGGAGCCAAATGGAGTGCTGTTCAGGTAGTCACTAGGAGACATGATGACGGAATGGTGGAGGAGTATACTTATCAGAGAAACCTGATTTAAGATGGCATCGGACAGCAGGTCTGTTTTCCTGTTTGATGTAATGATGGTTTTGTTGCTGGGTCTAGTCTTGTGCTAATTTAAAAAAGTGAAGTCCTGTAGACAGAAGACATGCGTCCCAGCATTAGAAAAGGAGAATACACAGCCTGAAGAGAAATAGAAAGGTGATTTGGATATTTTTAAATTGCATGGCATGCAAATTCCCCTGAAGGGGTTTGAAGAGGACACCGGCTGCTTCTGCTAGAGCAGACCTGGACAAAGTTTGGCTCGAGGGCCACATATGGTCCGTAAGCCACTCCTGTCCGGCCCGCGGACAGTTTTGAACATCAAAATCATTTACTGTATAGCTTTTTGTCTAAAGTTGATCAGTTGCTTATCTTTAACATACCGCAAAAAAGCTCTTTACTATTTATGAAGAGTAACAAGTTTAAAATAAAAACAATTATAACATCACTGTTTCATTTTATTTTTAAGTAAAGTTGGTTCGGCCCCCGAACACAGTTCAGATTTTCCATGTGGCCCCCCCCCTATAGAAATTAATTGCCCACCCCTGTGCTAGAGAGATATTTCACTTATAAACATTACCAGGAGTTTTGTAACACTAGCACTACCCTATCTGTTGGTGAAAGCCCCGAACACAGTTCAGATTTTTCATGTGGCCCCCCCTATAGAAATTAATTGCCCACCCCTGTGTAGAGAGATATTATAAACATTACCAGGGAGTTTTTGTAACACTAGCACTACCCTACCTGTTGGTGAAAGGAGAAGCAGAGTAGTGCAGAAGGGTTAAATATAATCTTTTTTAAATCCTGTGTTTTATAAGTTATGATAACCAAAGTACACAACAGTATTATACAACAGAGCAAACTAAATAAAAGTTAGCATAACACTTTAGAATGCCCAGGCAAACACAACTGGTTTAATCCAACTAAGGTTAATCTAACAGGAAAATCAGTACCAGTCACATTTCAGTGGGAGGGGCATTCCAGAGAAAGGGGATCGCCTCAGAGAAGATCATCAGCCTAGTAATACACAGTGAACTTAATTGTATTCCTAAAGGATGGTCCTTGAAAAGGAACCCAGAGGCAGGTTGGTACAGGGAGATATGCTCCTTGTCCATGAGCAGTGCACTTATCTTTTCACAGGTTCATGAGGGTTAAGAACTTAAAGAGGCTAGAGATAGGAAACATGGCCTTTGCAGCAGCAGATCAGCAAAAAACAGGTTATCTTTTCAACCCCCAAAGCTTCCCAGAATGTATCCATCATGTTAACTGGTGCTATATTTCACATTAACTTTTGTTTGCACAAAACCTACTGTCAGCATTATTTCTCTATGGAGGAAGGATCATTATATTGGCGATTGCTGATGTTTGAAAGGTAAAGTGGTTACTGGACAAAAGAAGGCATTTGCAGAAACGGAGGTACTGGATCTCTCTGTCCTCCCATATTTTGTTTAGATCCTTGTGGTATCATAGTAGCAGTATTGAGTTTTAGTCCTCTAGGTATCTTGATTTTAACCTGCAAAAGCCTTGACTGCCATGGAAGAATTGTGAGAGTTGTAATTGAAAGTATCTAGAATACCAACAGTTCCTCGCATATCTTCAGACCCTTCATAGCGCCCTAAATGACTACGGCATGACTGAGGTATGTGGTAGCACTACTCATCAAAATCAGTCGAGATGATCTGAACCCTCAGATTTAAAAAACAACCACCTAGTGTAACAGCTGGTTTTATGACTGTTTTGAAATACTTTACAGAAAGACAAACAAGCGGAAGAGCAATGCTGTTTACATGTAGCAGTGAAAATTATCCCAGTTCTGGACAGTAGGTGGGGATGCTTTTCTGCATTGTGTAAGAGAGATGCAATCTTCTCTTACTAGTTCTCATGTGTAAATATGTAATACGACCTGAAGTGTAAAATATATTTACTATTTGCTATAGACTGGCATTATGGAAAATCAAGTGACTGATCATTCTGAGGAGCGTACATTTCAGTACCAGAATTCTCTTCCTTCACTACCTGTTCCGGCTCTTGATGAATCTTTAAAGAAATACCTTGATTCAGGTATGTCAGTTTTTAATGATTGTTTAACCAACGTATATTGTAGCTGGTGGCTATGAATCTGTTGGAAACAGTACTTTTTGTTTTCTGTTTAGCCAAATATCTTCACATAAATTAAAATCTGTTGATGATGGAAGTTTTGAAACAGATTGTGGGGAGAGGTAGCATTTGTGTATTTCTCACTGCTTTCTCTGGTACTGAAGCCAAAACAATGGTGTACAAAGGTTGAATAGTTCTGTCCAGTCAAAATTTTTAAATGAAAAGCCAGATGAGAGGAGCTTGAAATCATAAAATGTATGTAGTCTGTTTAGAGAATAAGGTCCCATTACTTCTGTGAAACAACAGTTGTTCTTCAGGTAATAGGAGGGGGTTTTCTGATAGAAATGTGAACTTTTTCTCAATGGGATAGCAGCAAATAGAATGCACAATGTGCAGTGTTTCAAAAAGATTAATTAAATTTAGGTTCCAGATAGGAGCCAGATAGACTGCACCAGCCCCCCAAATAGCACTTCTTAGCTGTTTTTAAATAAGAAAAAGTAGTGTTCAGGTGGACACTTCCCATTTGTTTGAATTATTTCATTTTGAGGGCTGGGTGGGCATAGGGGAACTACCCAAGGCCTCCAGAGTGAAAGCATGCAGTCCCGAAACTTCCAGGAATAGAAATAACACATTAAAGGGGGGGGGGGGAAATAAAAAAATAACAAAAAAAAACCCAACCCAACCCAAAAAACCAGACAAACTAATGCTTTTTAAACTTTTGTTGAGGCTCTGGAATAATACCCTGCAGAGCTCCATAATGTCAACACCTGTTCAAGGTCACAAAGAAGAAAAAAGCAGGGCAGAGCTAGACTGATATGATGGTTAAATCATAGGCTATGCTATGCCCACAGAGAAGTACAAAGTGTATGGTTGATGATAATGTAGCGCCCAGTAACCAGGCCAACAAGTTTTAGGATAGTTTCACAAAGAGCCCTCCCTTATGGCACAAGAAACTGGTTTTTGTCATGTTAAAGTAGGGAGATGGAGCAGAACCAGTCCAGTCCCCAACACCAGAGATCAAGGGAAAAATTTGCTGTGTAGTCGTCCTGAGCCCACTCCTTGGGCAACTTAAGGACAGACTCTCACTTAACCATAATGCTGAACCAAAATCCTCTGTTTCTGCTACTATTATGTGTTCTGTTGTATTATCAAGGTGGAAGAGACTTATAATGACCCTGATAGAGCTTTCAAAGTAGGTGGGGGTATTTAAGGGGAGTATTAGTTCCACAACCCCTAACCCCAATGAGTTTCCATGGCTGAGCGGGGGAAAGATTCAAGCCCAGGCCTCCAGAGTCCTAGTCCATCGTCCATTGCGCTATCCACTACACCATACTAAGTACCACCCCCCAAAAAAACCTTTTTACTTGTCATGATTAACCATGACTAAATTTCATGCATTTATTCCAGTGTATTAGTTTACTATTGTCTGAACACAAAGTCCTTTCAGTTTAATTAATGTAACGCTTTCACAAGCCTAAGAAATAAGCAGCTTGACTGTGTTCTTAAGGGACAATACTGTATATTAGTTGCAGCAGCCTATTAGAATTCTATAGGAATGCATGCAGGTTGTCTAATAACCAGGAAAAACACCCCTTTCCACACTTCCATGTATCTGGATTATTGCAGTAAACGAACAAAATGGCTTGCTTCAGTTGAACACTGACTCTTCTTTGGGCTTGGTGAGAGCTTGTCACTTAACATGAATCCATAGTAATTGTTGACGCTGAGTAATTCATTCATACTTATTTTTGGACTTGTATCCCACCTTTTAGAAAATGAATTTGAGGCATAATGTCTTGTATGTTGTGATGAATATTGGATGGCCACATTTACAATCCGTTACAGTATTTGACATCACAGACATGCGTGTATATGTTCTGAATCTCACTGACATTTGGCTTTAATGAAATAGTTCTCTGCAGAGACTGTAACCTATGCCTTATTTTTTCTGTAGTCTAATTTAGAAGTACTTCACAGCATCAATAAAACTTAAGAGACATGTGTTCTGATATTTGTGTTTTACAGTGAAACCTTTTCTAAATCATGAAGAATATCAACGAACTTGGGACATAGTAAAAAGATTCGAAAACGGGATTGGGAAGGAACTCCATCAAAAGTTACTTGAAAGAGCTAAAGTAAAGAGGAATTGGGTATGTGTTTTTGAATATATGAATGTTCTCCATCTAAATGTGCATGGATATCAGTTTCCTACAGTATACAGTAATAAGAAAGCAAGAAAAGAGTTCAAGAACTGTTTTAGAAATATGAAGGATTAGATTCAATATCTTGGTCCTTATCTGTGTTATTGCATCTTTTGGGTCGAATTATTCATCTTGATAGAGTCTTAGGATCAAATTCTTTATTTGTTGCTGAAATCCAGGACAGGTACCCTGTTTCCCTGAAAATAAAACCTAACCCGAAAATAAGCTCTAGTATGATTTTTCAGGATGCTCGTAATATAAGCCCTACCCTAAAAATAAGCCCAGTTAAGTGAAACCCCACCCTCTACTTTTGTGTAGCAACCAGGAGATGGTGACATGACTGTATTTGAATAAATGTAGACTATTGTACATGAAAAAAAATCCCCTGAAAATAAGCCCTAATGTGTTTTGGGGGCAAAAATTAATATAAGACCCTGGCTTATTTGGGGGGAAACACGGTATTTACCAAGAAGTAATTTGCTCACAGTCATTCTGTAATATTTAGATTTATTCTGATTTCAGTCTGTTCAAGTCATTAGAGTAATCCCACCACCACCCCACACAGAACCCACCCACCCCCCGATCACGGGGGACTACTGGTATAGAAGATTGCTCTTTGAGTGTTATACATTCAACCCTTTTTGAACTTGCTAAACTATGTTTGCTATTCTATGCATCCCAGCCATTAAGTACTGTTGTCTACCCTGAGGCCATGGGATTGGCTCCATAGTTGCAAAATAATATCTGTGTTAACAATTTATTGCATAGTTAACTGTCTTTTTTTTCTCCTTCAGCTGGAGGAATGGTGGCTGAATGTAGCCTATCTTCAATCACGTATAGCAACACAAATCTATCACAATTTTGGAGGGCCAGGCCCTTATCTTGAACACTACTGGCCACTGAAAGAAGGAACTCAAATAGAAAGAGGCTCCTTAACTGTATGGATTACCTTGAAATTCTGGGAGCTAATGAGAACGTAAGAAATTAAAAAGCACAATGTATTTGTTTATATAGTATTGTACCGTTTCTTGTCTCATAATTTTTTTGCATGCATAGTTGCTGATGTATTCGCGAAGGCTTTCATGCCCCGGATCTAATGGTTGTTGTGGGTTTTTCAGGCTGTCCTCTGAAGATGCCGGCCACAGAGACTGGCAAAACGTTAGGAAGAACAACCTTCGGAACACGGCCAAACTGCCTGAAAAACCCACAACAACTGTAGTTGCTGATGTTCATAGATAAATTGAAAAGTTAACTATGTGTTTTAAGTTCTGTGCCTAGGTATTTGGGAAAAAGCCCTAGTGAAAACAAACAAAAAAACAAAGCAAAGTGTGCTGCTTAAAGCACTCTCTTGGTAGTTTACAATTTTTTAATTAATTATACAGGCTACACATTGCCCCCACCCACCCCCTGCAAGTTAGGTACTCATTTTACTGACCTTGGAAGGATGGAAGGCTAAGTCAACTTCAAGCCGTTTGTCAGATCTGTTGGTATTGAACACTGACCGTGAACAGAGTTTGGGCTGCAATACTACAGTTTAACGACTGTGACATGAGTCTCTCTTGTGAACTCACTGGGGGTTTATTTTTGAGTGGGTGTGCAGTGCACTAATGTGGAAGAAAACAAAAACTTCAAAGGTTTTGAAGTCTGAGCATCTGTCCTTAAGTAAAATCCTTCAAATGCATTTTCAGCTTTTTATAGGGCAACCCATGGCCCTCAGTCTGATCTCATGCAGCCCTCAGATTATTTTCCAAAGCCTTATGCAAGAATTGAGTTCAGATGTCTGCAGGAACTATCTGATCCTTGCTTGGTACTCTACTGGGTGAGGAGGAAGAGAAGAGGGAGAAAATGAGGTGTCAGAAAAACAAAAGGGAGGACTGCAGAATGGGAGAGAAAGCAGAAGATGTGCATATTTCAAATCCTGTCCCAATACTGCCATCACCTCCAGTTCCTCCCACCACTGCTGTACAGCTCCCAACAGATTGCCCTTCTGAAGGAGTGCAGCCCTCAGCTGTAATAAGATCAGCTGCTATATATAAAGGCTGCTACTCTTGCTGTAGAAGAAGGTTGACTGCTGGAATAAGTTCAGCTGAATCCAGTGATGTTTCTTCCAAGTAGATATGCATGGTCTTGCCAGTTTTAAGTGTTTGACTTGAAAGTGTATACATTTCAAAGTATGATGTGGATCAAAACAAACACCTCCCTCTTCTTCCTCAGCCCATCCAGAAGTCACACAGATTTCCACATATTCAGCACAAAGGTGTGCAGGGGTGTTTATCACCATGTTTAACTGAACATATTAAATACTTATTTTTAAACTTGTATTCCATCTTTTAGAAAATAAAAATTAGGCAGACTGTCTTGTACGTGGTGATGAATATTGGATGGACATTCACATATACCAGCATTACCATGATTGGGATTTATTCTTTATTGGGGCTGCAAATCATAGACACACTAAATGTGCTCACAACACCTATATGAACCTTCATGCTAAGCTAGTAAGAGTTGGAATGACTCTTGGTGGAGTCAGAACATGGAAGATATTATTGGAAGACATACCTACAGTATGTCATCATCACACTCTGAGTCTTGCACATTTTCAGGCTTAAAAACTGAATAGGGCTTTTATAAGTGTAAACTAAGAAAATAGAGTGCAACTTACTAGTTTATTGATACATGGAAAGATGGTAAGTCTTCAGAATATTAGTCAAGCTTACTGAGTGAAGATTCACACCTGATGTCAAATATGGTAGTCATTAACAAAATGCAGGCCTTTCTAATGTAAAATTAGAATCTCAATGTATTTTGTTCTTTTTGTTGCAGAGAAAAGCTGCCTGTCCATAAGTCTGGAAATGTCCCTCTGGACATGGATCAGTTCCGAATGTTGTTTTGCACATGCAAGATTCCAGGAATTACACAGGATTCCATTGCTAATTATTTCAGGACAGGTAGCAAAAATCTGCTCTATATTAGAAGAAAAGTCATCTTAATGTCTCCTCTGTATACATGTCTGTTGCTTAGATAAAGTGCTCACCAGTTGTATCCAGGCTTTAGTTTTATATTCATCTATTTTGGAGAAAGCCCAAATGATCTGAATAAGATTTACTTATAGAAGTTCTGTACAGGATTGCATTAGTTTGTGTCTCTGATTTAAGAGATGCCATAAAAGTGGATTCTTGGGTTTCTTTTGTTAGCATTGCTTTTATATGCTGTCAGGTTGCTTCTGACTTATGGCAGTCTTATGTATTAGTGACATTCAAAAATTTTTTTTAATTAACAGCTTTGCTCAGATTTTGCAAACTAAAGCCATTACTTCCTTCACTGAGGCCATCCATGACATGTTTGGGGTGTTGGCTTTTTTTCCTGCTGTTAGTATTACAGTCAGGTTTAGCTTGAAGTGCAGGAGTCCAGAGGTGAATAGTTTGATTTGATTATTGTTACTGTGAGAGGTAGTGTAGTAGGTGTTGAGTTTTAGAACTCAAACTAGACAAAAATAAACAGTAAAGACCTTAACTCTTAGACTTGGGATCTTCCAAGAAAAGACTAACTTGGATACTGCAGCAGGTCCTAGTTATGAATGGATTTCAACAGACACTGAATTAGTGTTACTGTTAACAAATTGTTCATCTAAAATGAAGATCAAGCTTGCCAGGCTCAGTATCATAGATAACTCTTTTGCTTCAAGGCTATAATCCTTTGAAGACCTGTATTGGAGTGAATCCCATTGATATCAGGGTGGTTTACCTCTGTGTAAGTTAGAGGGAAGCAAAATGTCAGCTATGAGTGAGATTTTCAGATTTTATTGGAGAACCTTCCTGTTCAGAAAGAAAGTCCCAGCTTAGCACTTGGGCTGGAATAGGAAGCTTGAGTGGAGCCTAGCCTAGCTAAGCCTCTGAATCTTCCAGCTGAGGCCTTTCTTCCACATAAGCCTCATGTAGGTGTGTGCAAGGTATCTGTCAAAAAGAACTCTCAGAATGGAGAATTATATGATTTGGAATCTTGTGAGGCATTTGAGGAGACAGTCATGGCTAAAAAGTGTGTATTATATTTGTAAATGTAATACACAAATATATTTGTGCTTGTGAGGCAAGAACAGAAGGCTGAAATGGCTCTTTGCTTAAGGCTATGTAAATAAAGTGTAAGACTTCTGAATAAATACAGTGGTGCCTCGCACAACGATGTTAATTGGTTCCAAAAACAAAAAACCGTTCTGTGAAACATCGTTCTGTGAAACACCATTTCCCAGAGGAATGCATTGAAAACCGGTTAATCCGTTCCATTTGGAACGGATTGCCGTCCTTAAGCGAAAATCCCCATAGGAAACATCGTTGAGGGAAACGCGGCTTGGACGGCTTTTGAATGGCTTTCAATGGAGAAAACAAAAAATCACCAAAAATTAACGAAGACTCAGAACAACACCAAATTAAGTTTGCATAGGTTTCAGGAGGTGGGCTAACGATAGCAAGCATTTAAAACACTTTTCAAACAGTTTAAGGCACTTTTACAGGAGCGAAAAGGGACATCGTTGTGCGAAAATTCCCCATAGGAAACATCGTTGTGTGAGGCGGCAAATTTTTCAGGAAAAGCCATCGTTGTGTGAATTTATCGATGGGTGAGGCACTCATTGTGCGAGGCACCACTGTATACATAAGGTTGAACTGCTAAGGCTGCAGTCCTTGTGTGCTTTCTTAGGATAAGTTCCTGTGAATTCAAACTGGCTGACTTTGCAGTTGACTTTTTATGTACTCCTGAATCATCTATCAGCTGTACTGTCACAGCGGTTGAAATCCAGTAGTAGGTTGCAACTAGAGTAGGGCTGTTGAATGAGTTGAACTTAAAGAGTTCAGTAGATTCACCAAATCTCCACTGTTTAGGTGGGCCTATTCTGGTTGTGATTTATTACTGGATTTCAACGAGTGTTTTGTAACAGAGCAGTTTATTTATTTATTTATTTATTTATTTATTTTATTTCTATCCCGCCTATCTGATCATATTAGACCACTCAGTTCATAGTCCTGGCAGGTGGACACCTCTTCACAGCCTTCTTCAGAAAAAAACCACATGTAATTTTTATTCTTATTAACCTTGCAGTGCAGATTTTGCCATAGTATTTTGCACAAAGAAGCACATTTTACCCTTAAATACTTTCCAGGTGATGGCCACCTTTGTACCCAACAGTAAGCTTTTGAGTTGGTCAGAATTCTGGATTACTCTGTACAAGCTGCATGTTCATGCACACAGTTCAGCTGCATATTTCAGATTTGTTTAGTTGATCAGGCCAGGAGGAATAAGGAAAGGGCATATGGACTTACATGCACAAGCAGAGATCTCATTCACATTAAGCCAGGAGTCACCAGAATCCTGGCTTACCATTATGCACGTACAGTACATGGCCAGTTCCTGAAGGAGATTGTTGCACTCACTTTATTTGTTAGAGCACCTTGGCTCACATTTTGTGATGACTGCATGAGTTCCCTAATGAAAAAGTCCTGTTAATTGACTTTCCCCCTCTTTTTTTCAGAGAGTGAAGGTGAATGCCCATCTCATTTGGTAGTGCTGTGTCGAGGTAGAATTTTTGCGTTTGATGCAGTACATGATGATCATATATTGACCCCACCAGAGATTTTTAGGTATATTAAAAGCAAACTATGCATGTTTATTATCATAGGATTCTGACTTCTGCCAATTCAGGCTGTTGGCCTGTTGGATCTCCATGTTGTTAACACTGGCTGTCAGCAGCTCTCCACGGTTTCAGGCAGAATGTTTTCCTCTTACAGGAGATACAAAGTTATCAATCTGGGACCTTCCACATAGAAGGTGTATACTTTACAACTGAGCAGCAGGCCTGCCCAAGTGCTGGGTAATACATGCTGAAATCTGTCTAAAAGAAAAGTAAAATATTTATTGTATTCTCAAAGGCTTTCACAGCCGGGATCTGGTGGTGGTTGTGGGTTTTTCGGGCTCTTTGGCCGTGTTCTGAAGGTTGTTCTTCCTGACGTTTCGCCAGTCTCTGTGGCTGGCATCTTCAGCCTACTCCTCTTCTCTGAACGTCAGGAAGAACAAACTTCAGAACACGGCCAAAGAGCCCGAAAAACCCACAACAACCAAAATATTTATTCTGTGCCATTTAGAAATATTGAGGGCAATCTTTGTGAGGAAGATAATATATCTTTGGGAAGGTTCTGTGCAAGGTCCATGGAAATGAATGAAAAGTACATTGCAGCAGTATTTGTGGACGGGGCAGGCTATATTAGAACTATACTTCAAAATGAGTTACTTTGCTTCCACACTAATACTTCAATTGTAAATAATCAAAAGAAGTGAGTAATTAACTGTTCCTCAATGAAGGTGTTTAAGAATGACAGCAGTGACAACTTTGAGCAGCTGCTGTCTACCGCAAACATCCCACAATATAGTTGCTAAGCATAAGCAAGATCACCACTGCTACTAAGAGGCAATGGGAGAAAATGGCATCTGCTGGGAGGACCACTGCTTTGACTTGTAAGTCCTCCCCCATTCTGTTGTGTTATGTCACACAACCAGTACCACTTGCATGCTAACTCCTATTTTCATTTCCTCTTGCATGTGATGTGGACAATGAGTGGGAGTATAATTTTAATTCTCTGTTCAGCAATGCCTCTGCAGCATTAAAATTTCTTGTGTGGAAGCAACCTTGAACGTTTGTCTAACGTATTTGTCTCAGAGGACATTAGTGCAATCTACAAATGACAGGGAATATTTAATGTACTGTGCACTTAAAAAACCTCTCTTGGTCTGAAGAAAAAAATTAAAAGCTAGGAAGAGAATACAACACATATAGGACATAGAGAGGCAAATAGGTACTTTAAAGAGAAATTGACCAGCAAAAGGCAGTGAGTATAAATTTCTCCTGGGAATTTCTACTGAAAACAGTGTATGTTTTGTGTGTGTGTGTAAATATTAACTGTAACTGTTATTTTGTATCTGATCTAGTAAGTAGCTTTAATATATTCCTTCCCCCCCCAAAAAAAATCCGGCTTGAAGGCAACTTTCCTATGTCCAGAGGAGGTGCCACAATGAACCTGAGGGGCCAGGATTGGCTGCCTTAACCTCTGAGGAAAGAACTCCATGGGCAAAGGTTAGGAAAATCTTTTTCTCTTTTTAGGATACAGACGGATACATACTTTGACATTTCAATAGCCTTTCATTTGTCTCTCAGACACGTGACTATCTTGTCAACCTTGATCCAAAGAACCTGGCCTTGTTGGAGAAAATTCAGAGCAGCTTGTTTACAATCTGCTTGGATGAATCAAGTCCTCAAGCTATTCCTGAAGATTATACAGAGGTACTTATGGAGTGGTGTATCTCATTCTGTATCATTTTCAATAGCCTCTTCAGTGTTATATTGAAGAGTTTAGATACTTTGAAGTGATTAGTTATATTTGCCTAATTTCTGTAACTTCAGATTAGAAGTGCATTACTCCACTTACCTATGTGTACCATGTAGTCGGAGGAGCCATACAAATGAAATGTCATTGTTAACCCTTGGCTGTAAAGTGGGTTCATCTTGACAGCTTCCTCTCCTGTCATCTTGCTGTTTTGCCTGACCTTATAAAGAGGTTCAAATTCACATTTTTCCTGCTGGTTTTCTCTTACTCTTTAAGTGTAAATGTGGCAAATTTCTCTTTCATAATTCATATGTTGTTGTTTTTTTTTTTAACTTAGATCACAAAGTTGTCAATAACAGGAGATCCAACATTACGCTGGGGAGACAAACCTTATAACTGCATTGTATTCTCAAATGGTGCATTTGGGTCAAATTGTGATGTAAGTTTTTTTTCATTTGTGACATCAGCATATTTTCTATTCCTCAGAATCTTTGCATACAGTCTTCCTAAATGTGGAAGTCATGTTCTGCCATTTTGCATAGCAATTTCAGTTTCAGAGATCAGTTTTGGTAAAGATCTTAAATATCTTTAAAGTTTTAAAATGAGTAAGTGTGGAGAATACATATTTTTATACAGTAGATCCAGATTTAGGCATATGCAGCCAAACATGTAAGTCATCTTCTGTCAGCTCAGTTGCACATATCTAAATTTGGCTTTAACTCAATCTGTAAATCACAATTTATAAAGTCTTTGCTTAAGCCATAGAGTGTCCTAGTTGGAGTGTTCTAGCCTAACTGGATAAACAGTAAATAGAAAAGAAGTGTAATATAATTAGAAAACCAGATGGTGTTGTACCTTGTGAGAATATTTTTAGAGGATAGAGATAATCAAGATTGGCCATCCATTTATTGCTCTATATGGTAATGTTTATATTTTGTATGTTCCAGCATGCTCCTTTTGATGCTATGGTTTTGGTAGCCCTCTGTTCTTTCATTGATGCCAAGGTCATTGAGTCAGAGGGAAGATGGAAGGTATGTAAATCGTTACCCCTTCCATACCAGTTGATCCAGTTCTGTGCCTATAGAAATAAATCCCTTGGTTCTCTCTTTTTATTTTGAAATGAAATATAGGGCTCAGACAAAGTGCGGGACATTCCTTGGCCAAAGGAACTTGCATTTACATTGGATCAAAAAGTATTGAATGACATTGCCCTTGCCAAGGACCACTATAAAAAGAAGGTATGTACTTTGTATCTCTTCTTCTACAAGCCTTGGGTACCTGCCTGTTGGGGCATCCTCTTTGTTCTTTTTCTTTAAAAAGTGAGATCCCTAAATGTAGCTACAGATAAATCCTGTAACTATCTTTATCTAAACCAAAGAGTGAGTTCAAATGAGTTCCCTGGATTCTCCTCCTTGAATCTGTTTCCGTCGGGTAAGGGAGAGAAGAATAATTTATAATTTGAGTATTATTTTTTGGATTTTTGTATAAGAGACTGTTGTTGATTTTCACCTGACTTTTCAATGTATAATTTTTCTGTTTCTCAGACATCTGACGTAGAGTTGGTGAATTATGCCTTTACATCCTTTGGGAAATCACTGATCAAGAAACAGAAGCTTCATCCTGATACATTTGTCCAGCTTGCTCTCCAGCTGGCTTATTATAGACATCATGGACAGTAAGAAAAGTTTACTTTTCCAGCAAAAAGTTTTGAGCATACAGTGTCAGTTACCATTATACTGAATAAATAAATGAATTCTGAAATATATATGGGATTGGATACATCTATAAAGAAGACCTCTTAGTTCAATGAAGGATTACAGTTAGCAACATTTTCTATAAATCCCATTGATTTCAGTGTCTGATTTTGCAGATGAACAACGATAACAATTTGCCCCAAATACTCATACTTGTGTGTAATGAAATGTTTGTACGTATAAAATGCTTGCCCTTCTCCTTTCCCTCATGGACACATGAAATTTTAACAGCACAGTCAAATCCAATAATCTGGTTTCTTCTCTGTTTCTTTTATTTTTCTGTTCTTCCCAAGGTCCTCATGTGGTAATGCTTCTGATACTATTTTAATTTTATTATATGTTCATTTGTCTTTTTAAAACATTTTGATTGTGAAGGCTTGCCCTAGAGTACAAGGTAAAAGAAAATATAATAATTTTAAAAATAATTAAATTGCAAAAAAGGGGGGGAAAGGGAAGAAAGAATTTGAAGTTCCTACATTTTCCCCAATTCTTTTGAATAAAGAATAATACCTGATGTAAGTGTACAGCAGAGTGTTTCAATGGCTGTCACATTTTGAGCAGTTTCTTTACTACTCTTTGGAAACAAAACACACCAACTGCTGTATCTGTTTTAGTCTGTAAACATTCAGTCAAAAATAGTAGAGTCCTATGGCACCTCAAAAATTGTCATTCGCAGAATTAGAGGATCTGTAGTAGGAGCTTGAAAGGAATAGGTTTCCTTTGTTTTTCTAACAGAAAGAATCCCCAAACTCTGATTTAAAATGTAAGCAAATATAAAGTGCTATAAGGTGAGTGATTTCAAGAGGCTTCCAAGTGAAACTGTGAAGCATGCACTTTTTTCAGAGTTAATGTGTAGTATAGTAATATAAAACATCTAGAACAGTGGCCATTTTAATGCATAGTGGAGTTGAAGTTTTGAGAAACAACAGGGATGTTTGTGCATTAAGAAAACATTAAACATCAAAAGTAGTCTGGGCAGTGTTTGTGCTTTTGAAGATATCCTTACTGTCCTGCATTTGTCAAAAAGAGTTGCCTAATTATTATTACTTAATTATTAACTTTGCCTCTCCTTTTCCCTCTAACTTTGTCATATGGTTTCCCTCTTTGTCATATGGTTAGACATAGTGTTCTCACAATGGGCTACTTACGTCCCTGTCAGATGAAGGTATATCTTCCTACTTTTAACTGTCTTAATGTTCTTTTCTAGTCCAGGTTGCTGCTATGAAACGGCTATGACCAGGCGTTTTTACCATGGCCGAACAGAGACCATGAGACCCTGCACTATGGAAGCAGTCGAATGGTGTAAATCAATGCTAGATCCAGCCTTTACTGTAAGCAGATGATATACTAGAGCTGAAAAGACTTCACAGGTCTCCAGCATCTTGCTTATTTTCTTTTGTCAGTATAAAGAGCAGTTCTGATATAGGAATCAAACCTGTTTTCATACCTGCAGGCAACAAGAGTCAAAATTCAGTAGAATCATAGAATAACTTAGTTGGGAGGGGCCTATAAGGCCATCAGGTCTAACCCCTTGCTCAATGTAGGAACCAAAATCAAGGCAAATCAGGCAGATAGTTGTCTAGTTTTCTCATTGCTTCCCATGTTGGAGTGTTCACCACCTCACAAGGTAATTGGTTCCATTGTTGTACTGGTCTAACAGTCAAAAGGTTTTTCCTTATGTTCAGCCTAAATCTGGCTTCCTTGAGCCCTTTATTACATGTCCTGCACTCTGGGATGACTGAGAATCAGTCCTGTCCTGCCTGTGTATAAACTGCATTTCAAGTATTGAAAAGCACTATCATATCTCCTCTCAGTCTCCTGAGACAGAGATATGTTATGTTACTTTAATCATTCTAGCTACTCCTTTCCTTCCTTCATTTCATTCATCAGCTTCTTGTGTAGCTAAAACTACCTATACTAAAGCAGTTTTTGCAGAAACCTCTTTTTGAGGTTGGAGACAAAATCCAGCATGGGGCATTGAACCTTTCTTTTTGCTAACACAAATGATGTTATACCACTGTAATCTGAGTTCCTTACTTTTAAGTGGGGCAGAAATAGGCCTCCCTCCTTTGATTTCCTTTTAGTACTAGGAGTTAGAAATGCGAGACAAAAATAAAGAACCATTTGTAACAGAAATCTGATTCTTTAGGGTGTTTGCCCCCCCCCCTTTTCCACTCTTGTTTCATTCTGTTTCCCAGGCTGTTGTGTTTTGCTTGCATTTGGTCCCTGCATTCACTCATGGCTTGCTGGATAGCTTGGTCATTGGTTAGCTGAAGTCCCACAGGGCTCTGCTTAGGTTTTGCACCTGAGAAATTGCAAAATTGATGCAAGACAAACATCCTGAGATGATATACTATACATGTTAGTGAATTATTCATTCTTTTACAGAAGTGACTTTCCTGTTCAATGTTTTCAGCCTTCCTAGGGTCACTCCATCACATTTAAGGGTCTTTCCGCTGAATAACAATTTGCAGTTGGTATTTAGTCACTACAGCCAGTCCAAATCTCTTTCCTTTGTGTATAACTTGGTTCACGCCTTCTTTTTTGAAGTAGGTAAAATGATTTTTTCTAGCATGGAATTCACTAGAATTTGAGCTTAGGGAGAATTTGATAGGTTTTAATCAATCAACTGTCATACCTCTTACTCTTGACCATATAAAACATTTTGTACAAGTGCTATGGAAGAAGAATTGTTGTGCATCAAACGAAAGGTCTATAGCTGTGTGAGCCAGTGGAGTGTCCTGTACTGGCCCATCTCTTTCTCTCTGAGCAGGACTTAAGTGGATAGCCAGGGAAACAGCCATCATTTGTGGATATTGTACCATTTATGAATGGAAACATATGTGTGGCTTATCTGCAAATGTTACTTAGATAAGACCGCAGAGAGTTGACTAAATACACGTACTGCTAAGCAACAAGAACAATAAAAGTCCCAGTGTTTGTCTTGGATTTTCCTTTGATCTCTGCAGGTTAGGGATGTGCTTTTCAAAAGGCAGTAGTTAATGCTTTTTTTTGTGGCCAGACAATTGTTCTGAGTTTGTTGTGTTAACTAAAGTTTTCATTTTGCCTTAAGACAAACAGTGCCAGACAGATGTTTCAAAAAGCTATGAGAGAATGGTTAGGGATGCTTTTTTTTTTTTTTTTGCATTTTTCCTGCATAGAGCTATTTGCTTGAGGATGAATTTTCAGAACTTGTTTAGAGTTTGGAATGAATTTATCTTTCTTGCTTTACACAGCCAAATGAGCAGAAGCAGCTCATGTTGAAGGCCTTTGCAAAACACAATAAATTGATGAAGGAGTGTGAGCAAGGAAAAGGTACTTTCCTTTTGTTTCTTGGGAAAATATTTTTTTTCTTCCTCATGAGTTGGGACTTTTTCAGAAGATGAAATACTGAGCAAAGTTGCAGACCTGCCATGTTCCCCAGATCATTATGAGAGATGGGGGTATTCATTTATGAATACTCCTGCACATGTGGACATAATGAGGGTCCAGCCCCCTGGGGTTGACCATCCACTCACCACGAACTCCAGAGGTCACTGTCTGCAAGTGACTCCTGGCAGGAGGTAGGTGGATGAGCCTCACTGCAAGGTCGATGAGCAATAGGAAGGGAGCGCAGAGCTTGTGCCAACAGCGGAAGGTGAGTGGACGGTCCAGCCCCAGGGCTGGACCCTCATAATGACCACCTGTGCAGGGGTATATGAATATGAATACCTCCATCTCTAATCATTATCCTATGCTTTGGAAATGTAAGCTGTACCCTCCCTCTGCCTCCATGGAAGTGCAGGCTCCCTAACCCATCCTCCTCTCTGCTACTCACAAGGTCAGCAGGCTGAATAGATTACAGATGGTCTGAGAGACTCCATTCTACGTTGCCTCCAGTGGTCTTTTTCAGAGTAGCCACAGAGAGCAGCCAAGAGTAAGACCTGACAAACCAATGGTTTTGTATTTCTTTGACAGGATTTGAGCGTCATCTTTTAGGCCTCCTGCTTCTTTCCCAAGAGCACAGCCTTCCTATGCCAGAGCTCTTCACAGATCCTGCATTCACTAGAAGGTATTTAGAAACTTTTATATATATATTCACAGCCCTAGCAGTTCTGCGAGAGGCTGAGAAGGTGTGCTCTCTTAAAAGGTGCAAAGTTGTGGGCCTTTTACTCCTTCAAAGTGTTACTGCTGGGCCATAAGGTCCTCCAGTTCGGAGGCAACAGAGGGTGTCTGGAGGGCTCCCCCAAATACTGACTTACCTGCTTTGAAGTAGTAGCTGAAGTACATTTACTTCCGCCAGGGTTGGCTATGAATTTTAAAAGGGAAAGCCAGTAAGTGTGTTTGTTTTATTTTGCCTCACTCTGAAACAACTTATTTTTTAATTTTGCATTTCGTTCTGTTTTCAATTTATAGCGGGGGAGGCGGAAACTTTGTGCTTTCCACCAGCCTGGTAGGCTACACAAGAGTCGGGGGAGCTGTTGTTCCAATGGTGCACAATGGATATGGATTTTTCTATAGGATTAGAGATGACAGGTAAGGATACATTTAGTACTAGTCAACAGAAAAAAACTTTAACCTGCTATCAGAGGTTCCTTGGTGCATGAAACTAAGAAATAAAGGAGAAAAGATGGGGAAGGAAGGACAGAAATGATGAAATACTTGTCAGTATAATAGCTATAGACACTGAAGGATGATGTTACTTTTGTATGGGTAATGTGACCATTAGATGGCTTGTCATGACAAGTGCCTGTTCAAGACCTCAGGTTGTACTGCTGTCCTGGTATTATTTGCCTCTGATAAAAACAACTTTCATTGCTGTGAATGGAACAAGCTTGTGAAAACTTCAGTATTTCTGTGGAGGTTTCTAATGCTGTTTAACTGTTTTTGTTGAAGGTGCAGGTAAAGAAGAGTAGCTAGTTAAGGCCATGTGCTTTGAAATCTGACTTTGTAAAAAGAAGAAGCAAAAACTAAAGGAGAAGTCACAATAGCTATGTGTAATGAGTTGCGCAAAATGTTTGGAAGAGTTTGGTTCCAATGAAGCTCTGCCATAGCCTTCCATAACTGCTTCAGTTACATTCCGCCTCAACTTCTGTTTGCTATTTTAAAGTCGGACTAATAATCAGTTACATCATGTAAGGACTACTAGCAACAAAAATCTACTATGACATATGAAAGCTGCTATATTTTTATTATAATAGTGTATTATTATTTTTAAGCATCTGTCATTTATAATACTTTTCAGTGCCCTTTGAACAAAAAAATGTACAAGCTGCTTTACACAGACCTAAATATAAATATAATCCAATTCAGATCACATAGAATTGTAATTTCAGTGCATCAGAGCAAAAGTATAATATATCAAGTGATTCCCAAATGCCTGGTGGAATCAGTATATTTGCCTGTTAAGAAAGAACAGGGAAGAAATGTGCCACCAAATTAAATACCACATTTGATGACTCATGGGTTACTGCAGCAAAGCCCAGCTTCCAGCAGATGGCAAACTTACCTTCATAGATTGCAGAACCTAAAACTAGGTGCCACTAGAAAGACTTAAAACTAGAGATAGGGGGTATTTGTATATGAATAAGAATACCACTGGACAGCTGGAGTTAAATCAGCGGCCCTATTCTTTCTTCCATTCGTTCCGGAGCGCCCGGTCAGCTAGCCATTCACCAGGCTTGCAGGGAGACTCGTCTTCCTTCCTTCTGCCAGGAGTGGCTAGCTGACCAGGCACTCCAGAGTAATTGGAAGGAAGAGCGGGATTGCTGTCGCACGCATCAGAGGACAGTCCGGCCCCAGGGGGTCAGACCCTCGTTAACTCCAAATGTGCAGTTTACTTAACACTCTAATTGTCAACTCTAATCATATACATAGGGGAAGCCGCACTCTATGATACAATCTAAATTCAGACAGGGTAAAGCATTAAAGGTGAAAAAGGCAAAATATTATGTTTAAATATTGTGATATTTCACCATCCTCTACTTTTTACAAACTGGCAATCACTAACACTCTTTTCGAACAACACAAGAGGCAACTCTACACATGGACATCACCAGATGGGCAATACTGAAATCAGATTGATTATTTTCTCTGCAGCCAAAGATGGAGAAGCTCTATAGAGTCAGCAAAAACAAGACCTGGAGCTGATTGTGGCTCTGATCATCAGCTTCTTATAGCAAAACCCAAGCTTAAACTGAAGAAAGTAGGAAAAACCACTGGACTACTCAGGTAGAATCTAAACGAAATCCCTTATGAATACACAGTGGAAGTGAAGAACAGATTTAAGGAACTCGATTTGGTGGACAGAGTGCCTAAAGAACTATGGATGGAGGCTCGTAACATTGTACAGGAGGCAGCAACAAAAACCATCCCAAAGAAAAGGAAATGCAAGAAAGCAAAGTGGCTGTCCAACAAGGCCTTACAAATAGCAGAAAAAGAAGGGAAACAAAATGCAAGGGAGATAGAGAAAGTTACAGAAAATTGAATGCAGACTTGCAAAGAATAGCAAGGAGAGACAAGAGAGCCTTCTTAAATGAACAGTGCAAAGAAATAGAGGAAAATAATAGCAAGGGAAAAACCAGAGATCTGTTCAAAAATTGGAGAACATTGTGTGGTTGTTGACCTTGATCCAGACATCCTGGATGTCTGGATCTTAGTGGGCCTTAGAAAGCATGGCTAACAACAAGGCCAGTGGAGGTGATGGCATTCCGGTCAAACTATTTAAAATCTTAAAAGATGACACTGTTAAGATGCCACACTTAATATGCCAGCAAATTTGGAAAACTCAGCAGTGGCCAGAGATTTGGAAAAGATCAGTCTACATCCTAATCCCAAAGAAGGGCAGTGCCAAAAAATGCTCCAACTACCGTATAATTGCACTTATTTCACATGCTAGCAAGGTTATGCTGAAAATCCTACAAGGTAGGCTTCAGTAGCATGTGGACCGAGAACTCCCAGAAGTACAAGCTGGATTCCGAAGGGGCAGAGGAACTAGAGACCAAATTGCTAACAT